GGAAGTGCAGCTGAGCCCCCTTCCTGCCATGATCTCACCCTCCACCCCAAAGGTTTAACCCAGGGAAGCGCCCAGACCCCAGTGGGATGGTACCTGGACGTAGGCCCTCCACAGAGCTAATTATAGGGGGTCATAAGGGCAGCGCCCTGATCTGATAAACCTGGTGCCCCCATGGGAGGAGGAAGATGCATCAGACAGCGCCTGCTCCACATGAACACAGGGGAAAGGCCGCGTGAGGACCGGGGAGGGGGCAGCCATCTGCCAACCAGGGGCACAGCTCTACCAGGAATCAACTGTGCAGACACCCTGACCTCAGACGTCCGTCCTCAGACTGCAAGCAAACACCTGCCTGCCGCGGTGGGTGGTGGTGGCATGAGTTACAGCAGCACCTGACTCATCCTCCTCTGGATGGTGTGACCCTGGGGGTGTTCTCATCACACGGAGCAAGATGGGCAGGACCTCGGGAGCCCCAGGAAGTGGGGGACGTGCCCGGGGAGGGCGCTGCTAAGCATGGACAAGCACGCCCGTGAGCCAACACTAATGCATGGCTGCCGAGTAGTGTCCACACTTCACTCAGTTCTCCTTATTTGCCTCAGGCTGTCTGCCATCCGAGGGCGCTGTCCAGGATACGACATCCAGTGATCCCGTCTTCTTGGGGTTCTCCGGGTCAGGACAGGTCCTCAGATGTAGCTTTGCTCTGACGACCCCGACAGTTCTGAGGAGCATGGGGCAGAACGCTGCGGAACATAACTGGGGACGCATCTGATGTTCCTCTGCGGGGGGCGGTCTGGAGCCGCAGGTCTGGGAGGAAGGCCACAGGTGGGGCGCTCTCCTCCTCCTGCCACTCGGGGCACCAAGCTGCCCTGCTGCGTGACCTCGGTCTCGGGGCCACGGCGTCCATCCATCGGGCTCCCCATCCACACTGCCCTCTGGAAGGGGGTCCATGTGCCCGGCCCCGCTGTGGGGGTTGTGCCCCAGCTCCTCCAGGGCGGGCTCGCTTCGTCCTTTATTCGGAACTCCTCTGGGCGGGAGACTAACCTGTGGGGTCTTCCTCCATCAGCAGGACCCCTGCCGAACTCTGCATTCTGAGTTATTTGCCTCTTTGGAGCTCTGGCCCCAGCATGGCTCCGTCCTGGGTGGTCTGAGCATGGCCTGTGCCCCAGCCCCGTGGGCGGCTCCGGGCCCACCTGCACATGTCCTGCCCCAGCCCCGCGGCCTGCCACTCCCTCAGGGGCCCCCGCTCCTTCTGGAGCACTGGGAGGTCGTGTGTGGAAACTAACCTGTGCATGTAAGCAAACGTCTATAAATATTTCCACGTGACCTCGTGTACCTGTATCAGGGGTCACCTGTCCCCGGGAGTGACAAAGCTTGCTCCCGAAGCGCTGCTCCCTGTCCAAAACCTCTCCCTGGATGCTCACGGGGCTCATTCCACCCTTCACTCGGGTCCCAGCTCAGCCCTGCACGAAGTGGCCGTCCCCAAACCCACAGGGAGAGGGGCAGCTCCCACCGCCCTGGCTCCTTCACAAGGGCTCCCATGGTCACAGCCTGCGATGACGTCACCGCCTCAGCTCCCCCGGCACCAGGAGGAATGCAGGTCCAGCCAGCTCCGGGATCTAGGCTGTTCCCCTCAATCAGGCAGGACGATCTGCACGGGCCACTTCCCCTCACTCTCCCTCACACGCAGCTCCCTGCGCCTCACTGTCCTCTTCACAGCAAGAATCACGATGTAATGTGAGCCGCGTTCACCAAGGGCTCATTTCTGGACGCTCCTGCATCTGTCCCACTGGGACATCAGTGCCACAAGGGGCTTCTTATGTCTGCCCAAGGCCCAGCACGGCACCTGGTACACGCAGGCACCTGACACGTGTTCCTGAAAGCAGCATCCACACGGGTGGGAGCAGGAGGCTGACGGGAGGCCGAGAGCCACCCACCGTCCAGCACCCGGCCTGCAGGGGTGACTGCGACGCCAGGCCACCCCCCACGCTCAGGGACCCCCGCTGCTTCACGCCCTACCCTTCCCTGGAACACGAGAGTCATGTCGGGTACCACTCACACTCCAGCTCTCCATCCGCAGCGATGCCGAACCCAGCCGCGGCTGCATTGTGGGCAGGACACGTGCTTACAGGGCAGCCCTGCTCTCGAGCATTCCCTTTTGCACAACACTGCCACTCAGGCCTGCTCCCTCCAAGTGACTCTCACAAAAACCTGTGGGAGGCGTCCATGGGCCCACCTCGGGGTGGTCTCAGAGGAGCCCTTAGGGGGTCCGTACGGGGGAGCACCCACCCGCTCGCATGGCTGAGGGGCTGCAGGGGCCTTCTGCCCAGGTGCCCGTGAGCATCAGTGAACGACAGCACCCAGGAAGGAACTTCTGCTCAGCTGGAGGCCAAGGGCTGGCATGTTGCCACCCTCCCTCCACCATCATCCTGCCGGGAGCCACTCCAGCCGCAGCTCCATGCTGGGACCGTACTGAGGGCAGAGGGGAAACTGTGGGGACGTGCCTCCCAAGGGATCCTCAGCAGGGCTGCCCATGCCCCCCGAATCTGCCACCAGCACAGGACAGCAGGGTCCCTCGGGGCCGAGAGACTGCAAGCACCGGGCCAGCCTCCTCAGAGCTCACAACGTCACTGTCCAGTCACGGCAGGGCAGCACGGGCACCGCCAGGCTGGGAACCCCGCCCCTGACCCCCTGCCTGCCAACACGGGGTCTGTCCTCGCTCACCTGAGAGCAAAGCCTGCGCACCTTCTCACCAACATGGATGCAGGGGCTCGCTTGGAGAAGAGAAGGGAGGGTCAGGGAGAAACAGCAATGAAACCAGAGCACAGCCTGGCTGACTGAGGGCCCCTGAGGGCCTCACCCCTATCCGCAGGCTGGGGGTGAAGGAAACAGGCCCAGGGGTCTCTCTCATCCCAGGTGATCGGCATCCACATGCCGGGTGAAGGGTGGGACTCACCCTTTCCGCGGTGCAAGGACGGGGAGCCAAGGGCAGAGCTGGCGGCCGAGTCCCACGGCCGAGGCTCTCCGGGAGGGGCCAGCCTGCTCCAGCTGAACCGCTCTGACAGTGGGCGCACTGTGCCCAGGAGCAGGGGCCACCTCCCTGAAGCATGGGCTGCTTCTCCATCGTTTGTGCTCTTAAATGCCCGTCTCCATGCCTGTGAGGATGCACCTCATTCATCTCCACACCACTCCCTCGTCAGGAGCCTGGGACGGAGCAGGTGCTCTCGAAACCCTCCGAGGACACACGCCCCCAGAGGACTTCAAGCCCTCATGAGGGGTTAAAGAGCTACTAAACCTACCGTGGCCCAGCTGGTAAACACCCCACTTTAGGGGAGAGTAATCACCCGAATGCCATCCTCTGATTACTATGTATTTTCATTGCCAAAAGATGTAATACAATTTCATGGTTACTTGGGCCTGTAAAATAGAAATACCCCCAATTTTTAAGATATGAAAAGGTTTATGAGCGGGTACCGTCAGTTCAAGAATGAGCCCCTGGTACAAATGAGTCAATTCATGACAAAATTTAATTTCAGGAAAATTAATGCAATAAAGATGCCACAACTGTACTTAAAGTTTTAATACCTATTAGGAGTTTTAGCGAAGTGGTGCAGGACCACAGACGCACAGATCCATTTCCTAGCTCCTCACGATGCAATTGACTTCATACCTAATTTATCTGTAATGGGGACAGCATTATAAGGAGCTGTGTACTTAACGAGGGGGCCAGGGTCTTCAACGGCTGAACCCATCACAAATGGAGAGCGTTCCCACGTCACGGGATATTAAGTCTGTTTCCTAAATGCTACTGAGACCCAGTTAATAGCACCAGGCTGACGGCCATGTTCACCAAACAGCCCAGGGAAGGCTTTATGTCCCAGCAAATGTCAGTGGCCAGAAATTCTGTAACTGCCAAGTACCTAAAGAAGCAAAACAAAGTGGGGGATCTGGATGCAAGCAACTGAGTCGTCAAAATTTCTGCAGTGAGCGTTATCAGAATAAGCAAGCCACAAAAACAGAAAGCCAGGTCAGAGCACTGGACGTCAGAAGCACGAAGCACCCCGAGTCCATGCGGGACACAAGGGCCTCCCTCCCGCAGGATCAGAACTCTGGGGTGCTGCTCTAGCAGACTCCCATGACGCCAAGCTCAGAATCAGACGCAGCGGCCACCGGGCCAGGAACAGCTGGAGCTCCAGAGAACAGCTGGAACTCCTATCCCACCAGCAGGATGCAAACCAAGGCTCCTTCCATGGAGGGAAGGAGAGGGATGAGTAGGACCTGCTCTACAGGGCCTCCCGCCTCCCTACTCGGCAGCCGCTGTGCACCCCCTTTCCTGGTCCAGGGCCCACGAGGGGCCGGCGCTCGGTGGAGTGAAAACCTGCCTCTCGGAGCCAAGAACCAGCCTCCCCTGGACTCCACTCCAGGTCCCACGGAGGCTCCTGCTCTCTGTGAGTGACGATGAAAAGCAGGCGTGTAAGCCCCGCAGCGTGGCCTCAGCTTCAGCAAACATCTCCAGCAAAATGAAAAGGTGCTAGAATAAGCAATGGGACACTCGAGGAAACAAAGGTGGTTTGTTCCAGAAAACTCAATCTCCTGAAGAAATGAATTTCACCAAAATCGGTGGAGAGAAAATTTCATATCGCACTGAATCTGTCAGTGATTTTTAAAAAAAAATCTTTATTATAAGTGACTCAAAACAGACAATGTGTGAGTCCTGAGTGTGAATGTTTGTGGCAGCCGCAGCACAGATGTAAGCTGACTTACAAGCCTCCCCACTGTGCCCCGGGACCCTGGCAAGGATGCTGTCTCCGCACCGTCGGAACAAAATGCAGCTACAAACACAATTACAGGAGGGTCTTCCTCGCGGTTCTGTCTACTCGGGACAAGGACACCAGAAAAGGACTTCGGAACAACCACCTGTCCCCGAGCAGACGTCAAGCAGGAAGAGGCCGGTGGCAGGAGGCAGCGAGCGGCGGGGGGGGGGGGGGGGGGTGCGGGCAGCTCACCTGGTAGGTGTCCCACAGGCGGATGGTGCAGTGGAGGGGCACTTCCCGCATCAGCAGGTTGTTCATCCAGCGGAAGGCGAACTGCAGGTACCTCACCTCGTGCTGGTCCAGGTGCCGGTGGACTTGCTCTGCACGAGACAAACAGAGGCCCCAGACCGTGAGGGAGAGCCCCCGGGGGCCGCCCCGGAACCACCCACTCCAACCGCCTGACGCCCAAGCGACGTCCCCAGGGGGGCGGAGAAGTCATCTCTATTAGAAGAGTGCAGATCGACTCTTCCTCGGGGAAAGTGAGCGGCGGGGGTGCCGTGACAGTCACAGCGGCAAGGGTGGCTCCCGGGTCATGTGCATGTGACCCCAAGGATGCCTCCCCACCCCGTTGCGACGAGCAGCAACTCCGCAGCTTGGACCCCGTGCTCCCCACCCAGGCCTCTCTGCAGGGAGGCTCCAGAGCTCCATGAAGCTGCACAGTCTGTGGACCCTGGAGGTGCCACTTCAGGGAGCAAAGATTCTGGGGCTCATGGTGGCCCTGTGACTTCCCAACATTCTGCCCCATAAAGATCTGCTCCAAGTGGCCTGGGAAGCACCCGTGCGATTTCACAGGACAAGCAAATATTGCCAAACGGGTCCTGCCTGAGAACTGGAACCCTCCATGCAGACTCCTCAATCAGGGCCCACCAAGCGCTGCTAAAAGCACTTTTTCCGCACACATGTTTTCCTTTTCTCTGGGGCTTATTACCATCCCCTGTAACCAGCCCTGGGAAGTGACCCTGAAAAAAGTTCACACATTTTCCAGCTCTCCCCAAAAAAGTTCTAGAACTAACAAATAAACAAGTGTTAGTGTTTTGCTGCTTACTGGTTTGTTTTCACTCGTGTTCCTGGTAACTTGCAGCACTGCAGCAACAAGGCTTTCCTAAGCACTAAGTATGGGGTGGGGGTACGAGGGGTGGGAGGACCCTGTCCTGAGACCCTCTGCACCTTGCAGACAGGCACTGTGGCTGAAGCATGAGTGCCTGGCTGGGAGGAGCTCTTGCCTACAGGAGGGGGAGGCTGGCCACAGAAAAGTTCTGGATGGCTCTGGTTCTCGCACGTTGAGCCAGTTCCTTCACTGGCTCTGCTATGACATCCCACCCCAAGCCACTGCTGTCCCTGGCTGTGCGACAAACACGCCTGGGCACCGTCGTGTGGCCGGCGGGGCAGGACACGTGCGGGCTGGGTGTGGGGGAACAGCTGAGCCACGCGGTACAGCAGACCCAGCAACACCCTGAAGAACAATCCCAACAAGACAGTGAGTGACTACCCAGGGGTGAGAAGAACCGCACAGGCTCATGGTTGAGCCCTTGCAGCCAGCTGGGAGCAAGGTGACAGGGAGGGGCTGGCAGGACTAGGCTGTGGAAGACCCCAGAGGCCCTGGCCACATGCTGCCTCTTCCGGGACAAATCTGGGTCCGAGGGCTCCAGGCGCAGCACAGGGCAGGCTGGGCCCAGGGTGTGGAGGCCAGGAAGCAGGCAGAGAGGGAGGCTCCTCCGGCTGGGGTCTGCTCACCCCAGTATTCAGCTCCTAAGGGCAGGGGCCCCTCTCCCAGGAGGGGCGATTCACATGCTGGGAGGGGGCACTGACCAAGCCCATGCAGGCTCGAAGGAAGACCCCTGCGTTTCTGCATTACCAATCCCACTTGTCCTCCCCCGTGAAAGCCTAAGGAGAACGTTTCTGTGGACAAGGGGCTGGGATGGCGTGTGAACTGGGGAGCCAGGCGCTACCAGGGCTGGCGTCAGAGGGAAGCGCGTGGGGCCACGCTAGGGCAGTAAGAACAGGTCACCCTGAGAAATCTCAAAGCCATTCTTACAGTAAAGCAAATAAATACGCAGTATGAAATGAAGTCAATCGTCATCACTGGCTTTTAAGATAGAACCTAAGCTTTCAACGGAAAGTCCTCTTCATCCTGGGCCCCTCTGAGCTCCATCCTGAGTCCTCGGCCCGCAGACAAGGGCCTGGCCCCCTGCCCTGGGGGCCCAGGTGAGCACGGGCTGGAGGCTCTCGAGGAGCTCAGGCCTGAGCGACCTCTGGGACCCGGGGAGCACAAGGCCAGCTCAGGGATGGGCTGGCCTGACGAGCAGGGCCACGGGGGCTGACTTCGGTGGTCCCCACACCGAGCTGCGCAGCACCCGCATCTCAGGGGCTGAGAACATAGGTTCTGAGGCTCATCTCAACTTTCCTGATCACAGTCTTTCGGCGGGGGGGTCTGAGTCTGTGTTCAGTCAGGTTTCCAGAAGATTCTGATGTACTGGGAACCTTCGCAGGCACCCCGGGGGACAGAGGACAGACACCAGGACTCTAGCCTCACACACGGGGTCCCTGTTCTAGAAGTTCTGTGCATAGGACAGGGCAGGCACAACCCACAGGTGGTACCTCACTGGTCTCTTTAACCATGTTCTTCTCATCAGCTTATATTTTATTAAATACAATTAATTTTTTAAAAACTTAATTTCACCACCAAAGAGAAGTCTCCACTCACTCGAGTGGAGGATAAAGTGACCAGCAGTCAACGGCGTGGCACTAGGCAGGGCCTCCCTAGCAGAAATGAGTCACAGCTTTTCATGGACAAGAGCCCCCAGACAGAAGGGGGCAATCCTCTCCCCGTGTCCCTAGCCGTCAGCTCGGGAGCGCTTAAAGCCACGAGGGGGTTTCTCTCCAGATGTCCTGAGGGTCCCATCAATGGCCCATGGTTTGAGAAACACTGGTCCACAGATACAACTGGAAAGCCTCAGAATACACCTCGTCCTCAGCCCCCAGACTCCCAACATGCCCCACAGGGAGTCTCCCTCAGGTGGTACCAGGTGGCCCACGATACCCCTTCAATGCCCAACCGACCACCGGGCCCTCCCCTGGGCCTCCCCAGCCCTTCCGGAGCAGCGCCACTCACTGCCAAACACCGGGGGAGTTCTCTGAAGCTGCCCGTGCGGTCAGCCTGTCCCTCTCCTTGCTGCTACAAACACCCGGAGAAAAGCATCTCCCGTGGCACCTGGCCTTCACGGCTGAGGGCGCATGCCCGGCCTGGGGCAGGTACTGGGGGCCAGTCACCTCTGTGCCCCCCGCCCTGGCACACACCAGGCGCCTGGCAAGGATCTGCGAGGCGCCTGAGCGAGGGCAGGAGGGGGGCAGGAGCGTGCGACTGCACGGAGGACCATGTGACCACACCGGGCACGGATACAGCCCCAACCGCCCAGCCTCCCCTCCGCCTCTGCTCCCGCAGTCAACACCAAGGAGCGTTCTCAGCAACGTGGCGGGACACTGTGTTCTTTGTGAAGAACTGAAGAATGATTTCTAGCCTGCAATTATCCTCAGCTCTGAAACTAAAGCTCGGGAGAGCTCCAAGGGCCCTGAGTGGCCCTTCCATCCAGGCCTGACCGCTGCCAAGGGCAGAAGCCCCACCGGCTGACGGCCAGCCTCCACCACCACCCAGGGAATGGACTCGGGCGCTCCAGTTAGCCTGAAATTCAAATATGAGAACCCTAGAAAACGGCAGTTTAGAGAATTTCTGATTTTACTGAAGAAGCCTCCTTCACATAGAAAAAGTATACAGTTGGCAGCATGGAGAAGACCAGCAGGAAGAGGGACAACAGCTGGGCAGTCAGGACCACCGCCCGACAACGGCCCGGGAAAAAGGGAGGCCGACACAGGGTGGCTCCCAGGATGGGCGGCTCCCGGGACAGGTTGGCCCTGCCAGTGGCTCCTGGCCCCACCAGTGGCTCCTGGCCCCACCGGCTCCTGGTCCCTGCTGGTGGCTCCTGGTCCCTGCCAGCGGCCCCTGGCCCCGCTGGTGGCTCCTGGCCCCCACTGGCGGCTTCTGGCCCCACTGGTGGCTCCTGGCCCCCACCAGCTCCTGGTCCCCGCTGGTGGCTCCTGGCCCCGCCAGTCACCCCGGCCTGCTGCTCTACAGAGACAGCTGGGCCATGCCAGCGCCTCGTCCACTGGAGCAGGACAGGCCCCAGCGCTATAGCAGGTCAGCAACCCGGGGCCTCCCGAGGCACAGCGGCCGGCCCACCTGTCCCAGTCAAGTCACCCTTGTGGCCACGGCACCGCCCCAACGCCATCAGAGACAGCAGTGGGTCAGTTATGGGGTTAACGGTTGGGAAGGAAACACTAACTCTGAGTTTACCAACGTGGATTCACGTTATGTTTTCAGAGACCGCTGCACACTGCTCCACACCCTCTGCTCCTGCGCGGGACACCACGGGCTATTCGCTGAGGGAGCATCAGGCCACTGAGGGAGGCCGTCACCCGGGCTCTCCCTGGGGTACCAGCAGTGGGTCTTCCCCTGGACCCTGGCCTCCTGCAGGCCGGGGACTCCGTCGCCTGGTGTGCAGGCTGTGCTGGGCACCACGCTGAGGGAGACGATGGCCAGAACTGGACGCTCTCAGGACGTGGCAGGACAGAAAGCTGGGAGACGAGCTGTCCACAGGACTTAAGGACAGAACGCCTCTGCCTCCCCAAGCAGGCCCACGCGCGGCTGTAGCGCTTCCAGCCCGTGTAGGACAAGGTCACCAGTTTACAAACTGGAGAAACAGCTCTGAAAACGTGCCTGGGAGGCATGAGTCACCTTTCTAATGTAAACTGGCAAGTGCACAGATTTGAAAAATTAAACACATATTTCTGGAACATCTACCACTGAAGTGACCCAAGAAACCGTAAATATTAACCCTTTCTCTTCTACAGTGAGTTCCACGTGAGGCCGCAGGAGCAGGGGCACCAGGCAAGTTCCCGCCTCTCCCCCGGGATGCAGACAGAGGCAGCCCCTGTCCTAGGCCTGGCCAGGGGGGGGCCCATCCTAGCCAAGCGTGATGACCCGCACCCTTCCTGAAGGGGTGAGGCCTGCAGGACCCTGACCCGGGGGCACACCCACCCTGTGCCTGTGCAGTGAGGCAGGCTGGGTCAAATGTCCCGATGCAGGCCAGGCAGCAGTGGACTGGACACGGGATTCAGGGCTGCCCCTCCCCGTGTCCTAAAGTGAGCCCCGCACTGCCAGGTGGGTGCGCAGCCTTGCCCTGTGTCTCTGGGTACCAGCTCCAGGGCACAGCGACTGCCCACTGCCCGTGTGGGGAGGCAGAGACATCAAGAATGACCAGAAACC